GCCATGCCAAAAGTAGAAATTTCTGAGGGCAGTATTCACAAATGTAAGGAAAAAAGTCTGATTTCTTTTCTATAACATTAATCATGGTAGATTCATATGATCTCCCAAAACAGTTTGGAGCCCTAATAAACACTCCCTTTAGATTCCCTAAAGACATTAAGTTCTTCTTAAACTTTATTATAGTCTGTCTCATTGCTAAAAGAAAATGCTAAAAGGAGTGGGATTATTAACATTCTCCTCTCACATCAGGAATGTAGGCATAGTAACTCTAGTTATAGAACAGAAAGGCTTAAACATATTGAAGAAATTGAAAAGGAAACCAAGAGATAAACTTGAAACAGTGATATAACTGTGGCAGAGCAGGGGCTGGGGAGGAGATGATAATGAACTATGATCTGATCTATTCCAGGCAATTGCCTTTAGATTATATATATCTCTTAATGGCTCGATTTCCTCGTCTATAACATAGCAATAATAACCATACCTATTTTGTATGGCTATTGTGAGGATTAGGTTAAGTTACTTAGAGTACTGCCTGGCAAAAAAGTGCTCTATCAGATAAGCGCTCTATCAGTAATTACTAACTTTATCATATATCTAAAACTGATAAATCAAGAAATAGTAATATAAGCATATTATTTATCCATGTGGCTAAAACTTACTAACAGAGGTTAATAGAAGCAGTTAATAGATTAAAAATAGTTCTCCCCGAGTAACAGAACAAGGAGAAAGGAGAATTAGGTCAAGATATTTATTTTTTCACTATGTATCCTTCTATAAATTTATTACTTTGATTTTTTAAAAAGACTATTTGACACATAATCATTGATTTCTTTCTTCAAAACTGTGTAGAACCAGATGGAAGCTTTGCGATCACCTGGCCAGCCAATTCATTTTACAGTTTATATGTAGTAGATCGTACTTTCCACAGAAGGCCACACCACTATAGTCTATCCACATGTTCTCCTTAAAATATGACACTGTAGCTCCTCCATCTAGAGGTGGGGCCTACATTCCCTCCACTTAAATCCAGGTGGGCCTGCTGGAGAGATCATAGAGAGACTACAGAGAGAGTGACAGACAGAAACATACAGAGAGAGTGTGAAAGGAAGAAGGGGATAGAGAGAAGAGGAAGGGGAAGGGGAAGGGAGAAGCATAGCATAGGATCTTCCTAACCCAAGTGTCAGACTCATCAGTGAGCCCTTCAGATTTCCATGCCCAATACTTGTCACTAGTCACAGGTAGCTATTTAAATTTTAACTGAATAGAATTTTAAAAATCAGAGTTTAAATCATATTAGCCACATTCAAGTGCTCAAAAGCCACATGTGGCTAGTGTCTCTACTCCACTGGACAGGGTAGATGCAGATGTTTTTTTCTTCATCACACAGGCTCTATCAGATATATGCTCTTTCAGATAATTCCAGCCTCTAGCCTTCAAGCTGCCCCCTCTAATGCCAAGTGAAACAGAGATACACTATCCCACTGAGCCCTGCTTAGAATGCGAATTTGTGAGCAAGATAAATGTGGTTGTTTTCACCCACTGATTTTTAGGGTGGTACATTACACTGTCATAGTAAGAGGAGCTCACAGAAACTAAAGCTCAAAATGTGAAATAATCTGCTCAAGGTCAAGAGTCCACAAACCAGGTAAATGGTGGGACTACTTATATCTCGCTTCAATGTCCAATAAGTTTTGTGAATAAATATACAAGAAAATCCTCAATATTTAAGCCTTCTATATTTTTAACCCCAAATACTCTATCACTGTCACCAAGAGTTGTATCCACTATTCCAGAAAGAAGTTTGATGTTTCCTGGCTCTGAAGGAACAAGAATCTCAGAAATGTCAGCATTCATGAATTAGTGACAAAACAAGTCCTAGCGTTTTCATTTATTGGAATCATCACTTGTGTTAGGTGAAGTTCCATTTAATCTATTCCAGTTTTTACACTGCTTTTTATACAGTGCTTTTTGAAGTATCTGGAAGTCTTAAAATTTTTTAAAATTAAAAAGTCAAGAAGAAAACATTAAGATTGTTTACCAATATTAACTGACAGCTTTCTCTTTGATTTTATTTTTTTTTGAGTTGGAGTCTCACTCTGTCGCCCAGGCTTGAATACAGTGGCACACACTCCACCACCCCAGCGTTTACCTGCTGGACTCCAGTGATCCTTTCGCCTCAGCCTTCCAAGTAGCTGGAACTACAGGCACACGCTACCACACCAGGCTAATTTTTGTTTTTTTTATTGTAGAGACGAGGTCCTGCCAAGTTGCCCAGGCTGGTCTCAGCAATCTACTCACCTTGGCCTCCCAAAGGGCTGGGATTACAGGCTGAGCCACCAAGCTCAGTCAGCTTTCTTTTTTAAATACTCCCTTACAAAGCAACGTATTTTAAATGAAGTACAATTTTTAATCATTTGATCTAATGCAAGTTATAAACTTAGAGGGTCAACAAATAATTTGGGATTTAAGAGAATGTCCACCTAACATGAATATAGCAAATGTCACAAGACTTTATTTTGAATAATGAATAATTATGCTATATTAAAACCAGGGAGGTGGCAAAGACTCCTCATCTGACAGCACAAAGCTGAACATCATATGCAAATGACAAAATTTCCGGCCAGCACAAGCCTAAGCAGACATGCCACATCAAAATTTCCATGTAAAAAGTTAGAAAATTAAAGAATTACTATTAAGTCAGGCATGGCGGCTCCCACCTATAATACTAGCACTTTGGGAGGCTGAGGCAAGAGAATTGCTTTAGCCTAGGAGTTTGAAACCTGTCGAGGCAACATAACGAGACCTCATTTCTACAAGAAAAAAAAACTATCCAGGTGTGGTAGTGCACATCTGTAGTCCCAGCTACTCCAGAGGCTGAGGTGACAGACAACTTAAGTCAAAGAAGTTGAGGCTAGCCGGGCTCGGTGGCTCACCCTGTAATCCCGCGCCTTTGGGAGGCTGAGGTGAGTGGATTGTCTGAGCCCGCGGGTTTGAGACCCGCCTGAGCAACTTGGCAAGACCTCATCTCTACAATAAATCAAAAAATCAGCCGGGTGTGGTAGCTCATGCCTGTATTTCCGGTTATTCGGAAGGCTGAGGCGGCGATCCTGCCGGAGCCCAGCGGGTAGAGGCTGCGGTGGCCGGGAGCAGCCACTGCACTCCAGTCTGGGGTGACAGGGTGAGACACCAGCTCAAAAAAAAAAAAAAAAAAAAAAGAAGTTGAGGCTACAATGAGCCGTGATTGTGCCACTGCACTCCAGCCTAGGTGACAGAGTGAGACACAACTAAAAAAAAAAGATTGCTAATTTTTAAATTGTAATATGGGTCTAATAGCTATTTCTAAAGAGTTCTTAGAGATACATATTAGAGTAATGAATAGAACAGGATCAGGTATTTGCTTGAAATTAAAACATAGCTGGGGGGTGGTATAGGACAATACAAATGAAATAAGGGTAGCCATGAGGCTACAACTACTGCAGCTGCTCATGGGTGGTTCATTATATGCCCTCTATTTATACTTCAAAATGTCCACAGCAAAAAAGCTAAAAACCAACCAACAAACTAACTTCCCTAGCTAAATGGCTTAGTTTAAAATGCAAAGTAAGGATTATCAGAGTATGAAATGGGGACAACTAGAATTTCAGCTAGCAAGAAGGACCAAAATGTAAGAAACAGTCACAAAATACCTCTGATCTATAAAAAATAATCATCACGGCCGGGCTCAGTGGCTCAGCCTGTAATCCCGCGCCTTTGGGAGGTTGAGGTGAGTGGATTGCCTGAGCCCGCGGGTTCGAGACCCGCCTGGGCAGCGAGACCTCATCTCTACAATAAATCAAAAAATCAGTCAGGCATGGTAGTGCATGCCTGTAATTCCGGCTACTTGGAAGGTTGAGGCGGAAGGATCGCCGGAGCCCAGCAGGTCGAGGGTGCGGTGGCAGGGAGCGGCCACTGCACTCCAGTCTGGGTGATAGAGTGAGACTCCAACTCAAAAAAAAAAATCATCATCATCATCACTCTAGTACATATACACAGTTTCTCTCAAGTGAGGACTACAGTCAAGTTAGCTGACATACATCACATATAATGCTAATGTATGTGGTCACTGAATTTCTGTGCATACAGCCAATAACTGGAAGGGAGGCTGACAAAGACAGACACACAAAAGGCAAAGACTGCTGAGGGTCTAAAAGAATGGGAAAAGAACAGCTACGTAAGACATGAAGTTTACTAACAACTATCACACCTTTTGGAGAGTAACTTCTGGTATGTTCAGTAGAAAGGCCATGGGCTTTGAAGTCAAACAGAGAACAAGTTCCACAACCATTTACTAGCTATATGATCTCAGCCAAATTACTTAGCCTCATTATCTCGTCAGAAAAATGAGAGTAGTAGCTATATTAAGAGGCTTGCCTTGATACTTAGAAGAGAGATAATTTCCAAGTGTCTTGGAAGCGTATTCTCCAATCACAGTCAACAATTTGCCGGCAACCTTAGGAGAGACTGAACCACCTGTCTAAACTGCTCCCAGATTCTGGACCCTCAAATTCTCAATGAGATAATACATGTTCATTGCATTAAATGGCTGTTTTAGGGTAACTTGTAACATAGCAATAGATAACTAATACATTATTCTTAGGGTATAATTCTTCTACTATTTGACCAGTTACATTTGTTTCTAAATACAGTCATTGAGCCTCTTTGCTATGTTAACTATATTACAAAAGAGAGTCCTTTAATTCATCTGAATAGAGCGCTCATTACCTTGTAATGGCATGTTTATAAAGCAGGATATTACACTCAGTATTGAACTTCTTGCCTACATGCAAGAGAATCGTGATGGTAAAAATCCAGACCATGTGTCACGATTTAGTACCGCGAGAACCCACTAATATTCAGACCTTACACTACATTATACATACATCCTATATCTGTATATAAACATAATAGTTCTGTTCTACAATATATTTTAATAGTAATAAAAGGATTCTTAGTCCTACCTGAATGAGGCATTTGCTCACATCACTAGCACAGAGAGCTTTGTTGCAGCTCAGTGACATAGGGAGCCACATCAAGAACATCATCAGGACGGCTAAAGTAAACACAACAACGTATTGTGACTTCATGTTTCTTCAGAGAAGACAATCAGTAGCTCCTAGGAAGCTAAACAAACAAACAAAACAAATTTAACTTAAAGGCAAGTGCTAAGGTAAAAACAAATAAAAAAATGAAAAGCAAAACATAAACCAAGACTCATTGTTTGGGTCAAAAGACTTTGGAGAGATCACTTAAAGATCATCCTCAATGAAAGATTACTTAAACATTCAAAAAATAAACTATAATTTTATGTTATAATGTCTTCATAGTCATCTTCAAGACCTACAATACTGAAATTTCTCGGATTACCCAGAAATGGTAACTGTAGATATATCTAAACCCTCGGTAACCTAAGAGTAAAATATCAGGTAAAATAACTAATTTCAATACTGCATTACTACTAGCAACTTTGGTTTTAGGTCCATTACTCAACTTTAAGCTCATATAAAAACTATGAATACCATATTATAATTTAAAAGCACTTAATTATTTAATTCTTAGAATCAAAACAAATTTTCAAATGGAAATTATTTTAGCCACAATAAAGCAGCTCAAAGAAAGCAGAGTCCACAGAGTCACTCCTTAAATAATTGAGTAAATAACAAAGAGGACAGTAAATTATTGAGCACATTAAGAACTCTAGATAATGTAGAAAGATGTGAAGATATTCTTTTAATTCAACCAGTACCACACATTCTTAAAAATTATTAAGATGCCACAGTTCAAATGAAAAAAAAAACTAGCACAAATCCTAACAGGAGTTAGACGGCCAATATGGTTTTTAACTTTAAGTAAGAGAAAATATTTCTCCACCCCAAATATAATCAATTAAAATAAATGACTACTGATGTAAGAAGGATAAGGGGTGGGTTTGTGGGGCCTTTATGGTTATTCTACATTTTTATTCTAAGTTCTGCGAAGCGCAACAAAAGAATAGCAGTGAGAAGGCGAAAAGAATAAAGGGCTTAGTACGGGCATGGCATGATTGTTTGGAAAGAGAAAGCCCTGGCGATCGGATGACGGCCCACAGCGCATTCCCTGAAGACCGTTAGTAACCCAATTTTCTAACTCATTTAACAACACATACCAAGCCGGGTGACTTCTGGAGCCACCAGCACTTGTGGAGGCCAAAGAAGGAATTTTGAAAACGGATGGTTCCGGAGCTAGCCTTCATTCTACAACCACGAAAACCGGGAGTTTTCTCCCCATCTTCTGTGGCTGCCTTCTGAGTGTTCGACAAATTCGTCTTGCTTCCAAAATCTTAACTGGGAAAGCATTCCAGCAACTCAGGCTACGTCCAAATCAGGTCACAGGCCTAGGTACAGGGCTTGCGTTTCTCGAAGAGGAGGAAACAACGCCACGCCACAACAATCGTCCTACCCGTTTCACCGCCAGTTTCTCCCAGCCCGGGACGGGCAGTCCCCACAGGAGCCGGCACTGACAGCGGTCGGGGCAGACGCGGAACCTTTGCAGAGCCGGACCAGCGCCCCGGACGCGCTGGAC